TCGCTTAGACAGAGTGAAGGAAGGAACTGGCAAGTCTAAAGGAGGAGGTGTGTGCTTTCTTATTAATGAACGCTGGGGCGTGGATACTGTGATAATGAATTAAACTTGCAGTGCTAACTTGGAGTGCCTTGTTTTCAAATGTTGCCCTTTTGATCTCCCTCGGGAGTTATCTGTGATATTTTATGTGCCATATACATCCATCCACAGGCTGACATTTCTGACGCTCTAAAAGACTTGAATGATATCGTACACTTGTAAACGTTCCATTTGGTTTGTTTTGAGTATTGTTTACTCAAGAGGAGGGATTGTCATGGACTAATTATTTATCTGTTTTCCCCTTGACACTGTTCATCTCTCATATCTTTCTGGTGGCTACGGTCGCCTCCACAAGGCACTGAACTTTGACATACTCTTTGGGTGGGAGTCTGTGATTAGCGGAACAGTACATTTGGCGATCTGTGATTGGTTGTAAACTGACACATGGTATTGGCATGATGTATATTATTGGCTGTGTTCTGCTGACGCRTCCAGTAGCAAGCGGGCAGAACCTTCCTGATTCAGTTCTGTTTTCGATTGTTGCTCACAATTAAATCATATTTGATTATCACAGAAGCAGACTTTTCTCGCATTATTCCAACGTGTTTCTGCTTTTGCGACTACATGAGTAATGCATTTTTTAGCATTCCTGTTGACAAAAATAGTCTGTTCTGGTTTGCATTTGAGTTTAAAGGTGCTTGCTACACTTTTACTCGGCTGTGTCAAGGCTATGTGGAATCTCCAACTATTTTTCATGAGGCCTTGCGCAAAAACCTGTCATCATTCACGCTGTCACCTGGCTCTGCCCTCCTGCAGTACATTGATGACCTTTTGGTCGCCTCCCCTTCTAAGGTCCAGTGTGAAAAGGACACTGTGGCATTGTTGTTATTTGGCGGAGCAGGGTCACAAGGTCAGCCTCTCCAAGCTGCAGTTTGTAAAACCACAGGTTTTGTTCCTAGGGCATGTATCATCTGCTGCAGGTAGGATGCTGTCTCCTCAGCGTGTCTCAGCCATCACTTCCCTGCCCCGCCCTGTCACAAAGAAGCAATTGATGTCTTTTCTGGGTTTGGTCGGCTATTGTAGACATTTCATCATTAACTACTCACAGTAGGAATGGCTACTTAGAGAAAATTGTCACGCCCCTGTGTTGGTACCATCTGGTGTTGTTTCTTGGTCATCTGAAGGAGATGAAGTGTTTGTGGCTTTGAAAAAGGCTCTGCAGAGTGCACCGTGTCTGGGGACTGCAGCCACGACACAACCATTTTATCAGCATGTTGATGAAAGATCTGGCTGCATGACTTCGGTGCTGAACCAGATGCATGGTGATGAGACCAGTGGCTTTCTTTAGTGCTAAACTAGATGCAGAAGCTGCTGGTTTGCCTAAATGTTTGCATGCAGTCACAGCAGCTGAGAAAGCGATTTTAGCATCACGTGACATCGTGGGGTATTCAGATCTGACCTTGTTTGTCCCCCATGCTGTAGACCAGATTCTAAATGAACAAAAAACATCACATCTCAGCGCGTCACGTTATACGCGTTACATTGCATGTCTTCTCGACAGCCCTAACGTCAAAGTGCATCGCTGCTCAGCTCTAAATCCAGCCACGTTGGTCCCTTTTTCCGACGGACTCCCTCATGACTGCGTCACAGAGTTAGAGCTGAGCTGCAACCCTCGTCTGGACCTGTCTGATAAACCTCTGAGTCTACCTGAGGCTCACCTGTTTGTAGACGGTTMAGCACGACGGGACATGGTAACAGGTGAAAATAAGGTTGGATTTGCTGTGGTGAATGAGAATGCTGATGTAATCTGCTCCTCCTCATTACCAAGTCACCTATCGGCTCAGGCAGCTGAGCTGATAGCACTAACAGAAGCGTGCAGATGGGCTGAAAACAAAAAAGTAARCATTTGCATTCGGGGTGGTGCATGATCTTGAGGCACTTTGGAAAAACGGTAAGTTTCTGAAATCTGATGGTTCACCAATCTTGAATCATAAGCTGGTGGCTGCCCTGCTGGAAGCCATCCTTTTGCCAAGACAGATAGCAGTCTGCAAATGTGCTGCTCACTCGAATGGCACTGACCCAGTTTCTATTGGAAACAGAGCCGCTGACAGTGCAGCAAAGAACKCTGCGTATGGCCCACAAGTGTTTACATTGTTTGAAGATAAGGCTGCAGAAGCCTGCTCGTTGAGAGACATGAAATCTTTCTCCACTGCTCCAGAGAGGCAGACCTGGAAGAAAGCAGGTTGCAGTTTTGAAAATGACACCTGGGTGGGCCCAAATTCTAAGCCTTGTCTGCCAAAACATTTTTTCAATCATTTTGCAAAACTGTTCCATGGCTTAGATCATGCTTCTAAGTCTGACATRGTTTCTATGGTAAATACTCACTGGTTTGCCCCTGGTTTCACAACTGTTGCTCAGAAATACTGTCAGTCCTGTACGATCTGTGCTAAACTAAGTGCAGGGAGACCGATTACAACTAAAACTGAAGCAGCCCATCCTGCACCTTCATGACCTTTTGAGCATTTAATGATGGATTTCATTGAGTTAAGTCCAGCTGAAGGGAAGAAATATTGTTTGGTTTTTGTGGACATGTGGTCAAAGTGGGTGGAGGCATTCCCAACATCTACACAAACTGCTTCTGATGTCACCAGATGTCTGTTATCTGAAATAATTGCCCACTGGGGGATTCCTGAAAAGATCTCAAGTGATAACGGTAGACACTTTGCCAATGAAGCCATTTCTCAGCTAAGTAAATACTTGGCCATTGACCTAAAAAAGCATTGTGTTTACCAGCCGCAGAGCGCGGGTGAAGTTGAACAGGAAAATGGCACGATAAAACAGAAACTGGCAAAGTGCTGCACTGAAATGGGTTTAACCTGGCCAAAGGCTTTGCCATTGGTCCTTTTCTACATGAGAGGAAGAATGAGGAGCAGGTGTAATCTTAGTCCTTTTGAAATCATTTTTGCAGTACCACCAAATGTGGGCTTGCACCCTGAAACATCAGCAGTCTTATTCAGAAATCTGTGTGAAGATAAGATGTTGGGCTACTGTTCTAAATTGTCCTCTCTTTTTGACTGTGTTCGTTCGCAGGTAACAGCTGCTCTCCCAACCCCGGTGGACCACCCCCTCCATGACCTGAGACCTGGTAACCACATCCTGGTGAGGAACCTCAGACGGGCGTCCTGGAAATCCGACCATTGGCTGGGGCCCTTCCAAGTTCTCCTGGTTACCCAGACGGCAGTGAAAATCACGGAGCATGCCACTTGGATCCACATCACTCATTGCAGGAAGGTCCTGCACCCCCCAGAGTAGCGCCGGACGGAACTACTCCTACATCTGAGCATGAGGCCATTGCTAAACCTCGGCTCCTGTTTTGTGATCGACTGATCACATATCCTTTGAAGTGAAAAGAGAGAGAAGCTGAAAGATTACACCTGAGCCGAGAAATGGCTGGGTGCATTTTTGCTAGACTATGTTTTATGCTCACTCTCACCCCATTCACCTGTGGGCATGTTCCAGAACTGATTAATCAAGATGCCCCCCACCCATCCGGTTTGAAAGCTCATTCCACTTGGATTAATGACTGTACACATGGCCCCAATATCTCTGTGACAGCTGGCACAACTAGCACTGTCATTTTAAACCCGTGTGACTATTTTCACTGTTCGTACACTACTGTTATGATCTGGGCTGAAATGTATGTCTGTTACAGCATTCCTGATGTGTGCCCCACCTGCAGTTCCTGGTCAGAGGCTCTTTGTACAACAGGTTATTCTGACTGGGGGTACACACTTGAAAATGATGTCTCTAATATTAAGAACAGGGTTAAGATATGGAAAGGTAACAATACTTCTCCTGCCATTATGTTCCATGTTGAAAATCCTGTTTTATCTGACACAGGTTTTTACACCATTTGTGCTCATTCCACTGGCTATGATGTTTGTGCACCTTTCTGGCTATCAGTTCGAGTCCCAAATGTTGTCTCCAAGTTATCTCCTGTTTTCAGGTCCTTCGATGCTGGGTTTCCTGGGGGGGCTGACTATTACCCTCCTGCTCTTGCTGATTGGCATCTAAGGGTCAAGATGGCAATCTTTGTTGGAACACAGTCACTTCTATTCTGCACACTGCTGGCTTAAACACTTCCTGCTATGCCTGTACTTTGTTTCCACATGATGCAAGTACAGTATGTCTCTTCCTGTGAGACCTCGCCCTTTGAACTCTACTGATTTCTTTTGGTGATGACTCCTCTTTTCTTAAAGGGGTCCAATGGCTGGACTTATGCTAGAACAAACCTTCCAGCACCTTGTGAACACATGTCTCGTGTTGCCATCAGGGCCATAAATAGCAGTGTATTACGCACTGATGATTTTTCTTTATTTGAACAAGTGGGCGCTGTTTGAATTGATAATGTTTATTCAT